AGTGGTTCATTCAACAAACATCTGGGAATGCCCAGCTAGGTTCTGGGATCAGATGGCTAGGATTGAAACTTGACTCTGCTGTCACTACTCTGTGAACTTCAGCAAGTTCCACAAGTTCATCAACCCCAGTTCTCCTGTCCTATGAATATTAAGTATCCACCTCATTGAGTTTTATGAGACTTGGATGCCTATGAAGTATTTGGCATGGTGCCTGAAAGAAGTTAAGCATCTAGTTAATGTGAGTTATGAAGAAAGAACCACTTAATCACCCATTAATTAAAACATTGTTTGTATAATGAAGCCCAGAAGGAAATACCATGTTAACTGTGTTACCATTTTGGTAGAGAGATTATAGATGATTTGAGCAAATTACTTTTATCTTTTTAGTATTTCCCCAGAGTATACAAAGTAGTGAGATTTTAGGACAGAAAGGGAGCAAACCCATCTGAACTTTTCTTTGATGCTTTACTCTGTGTGTAACCTGCTGTGCCCAGGATGGTCTATCTGTGGCACCAATAGGAAGCCCCAACTGTCAGAATTCTCAGAAGATTCCTTCATAGACTTGACTGGTTTCCAGCTTTTTATGTTTCATTCAACAACCACTTAGTAAACAGCTTGCCCTTGCTGAAGGCCACACATGACAGTAAGTTCTGGGGAGACAATGGTGAATGAGATGAGGTCACTGGGGCTCCTTGGTGGAACTGGTCATTTAGTGAGGGCCTCAGACTGCCATCAAACAATTAAATGAATTTGTCATTAGAAGTGGAGGGCCTTTGACGGTAAGGAATGCAGCAGAGACTAGCAGAGAGTGTCAGCGACATCTTGTTTGGAAGGTGATGGCTCAGCTGAGCTACAGGGTACACAGGGGTGAGGATTGGTCATGAACAGCCCAGATAGGGGAGCAGAGGGTGCTTCAGGGCCACAGAATCTCTTGTTCCCTTTCTCCACGAGAGTACTTCAACTCTGAACATGGCTTCTTCCCTAGACCCCGTTTCATCCACAGTGTTTCTGGATTTCCTGTCGGGTGTTTGAATTCTCAACCTGTGATCATTCTGAGATCCAGTTTGTTCCCATACTTCTTGTTTTCTTTACAGTTATCACTTGAGACTATCACCCACATTCCACAACCCACTCATTTAAATAATGCAACTCAGTGACATATAGCGTATACCAGAGTTTGGCAGCCATTGTAGAACATTTTTACCACCCCCCTGTTAATAGTCATTAACAGACTCTTAATTCCCCCTCAAAACCCAAGACCAGAAAATCACAAATTACTTTCTATTGCTGTAGATTTGCCTATTCACATTTTGTGTAGATTTATATACATAATGTTGTCTTTCATTTAACATGTTTTTGAAGTTCATTGATACTGTAGCATGTGTCAGTAATTTACTTTTTATTGTTACTAATATTGTGTGGTATGTATACTATTATGTTTATTAATCAGTCTTCTCTGGTTTGGATATGAAGTGTCTCCTTCCAAAAGGCCCAGTTTTGAAGGGTTGGTCCTGAGCTGGTAGCATTATTGAGAGGTGATTGGATCACAAGGATGTTGACCTTATCAATCCATTGATGAATTCATAAGTGAATGGACTATTAAGAAGTCGGGCCTGGTTGGACAGAGTAGATCCCTGGGGGAATGGCTCTGGAAGATGTATCTTCTTGTCCCTATGTGCCTTGAGGTGAGTCACCTCCTTCACTGCACACCGCAACCCCGTCACGTTCTGCCTCACCACAGGCCCAGAAACTCGGAACCAGCTGACCATGGACTGAAACATTTAAAATGGAACCAAAATAAATCTTTCCTCCTTTACATCGTTTCTCACAGTTATTTGCCATAGCAACAAAGTGCTGAGAGATTCAGTCTATTAATCAAATAACGGACATATGGATTTGCTTCCATTATAACTATTTTTAAAAATATTTTATTATTTTTATTTTGTATATATGAGTGTATTGCCTGCATGTGTGTAAGTGCACCCATGTCGTGCAGTGCCTGCAGAGGTTGGAAGAAGGTGTTGGATCCCCTGGAACTGGAGTTACAGACAGTTGTTAGCTGCCACGTGGGTGCTTTGAATCGAACCTAGGTCCATTGCAAGAGCAGTCAGTGCACTTAACTGCTGAGCCATCTCTCCAGCCCCTTCCATTGTAACTCTTATGAATAACTTTGACATGCACATTCATCGTGAGTTGTTGTGTGGTCCTATCTTTTTACTTCCCTTGGGCTTATTCATAGGAGTGCAATCCCAATAGTCACAGAGTAACCCTTATGTTTAACCTTTTTGAGGTTAGATCATGTTCTGCGGTGACTGTGCCATGTTATACTCCCTTCAGCAGTGTCTGAGGGTTCTTGTGTCTTTATATACTCACCTGCACTTTCTATTTTCTGTCTTTTCATTCCATCATCCTCGTAGGTGTGAAGTGATATCTCACTGATTTGCATTTCTCTGATACATTGATAGCATGTCATCATGCACTTAGTGAACATTGTACATCTTTGGACAAATGTCTGTTAATATCCTTTGTTCATTGTTAAATTGGATTATGGCTTTTCCTTATTGATTTGTAAGAGTTCTTTATCTATTACAAATGCAACATTTTAAACAGGTATATTAGCAGATATTGCTCCTGTTCATGGATTGCCTTTTCACTTTCTTCATGCTCTACTTTGAAGGGAAAAAGTTTTTAGTTTTTGATTAAGTCCAATTTAACCATGTGTGATGGTTAATATTGATTGTCTTGACAGGGTTTGCAATCACCTAGGAGACAAGGGAATGCCTGTGAAAGATTATCTTGATTAGGTTAATTGAGGTAGGAAGACCCACCCTAACTGCCAGACTGAATGCAATGTGACCAGCTGCCTCAAGCTCCTGCCACCACACCTTTCTTGCCTTGATGGACTGTAACCTTAAACTGTGAGCAAAATAAACCCTTCCTGTCTTTAAAAAAAATTCTGTTGGAACTGGAGAGATGGCTCAGCAGTTAAGACCACTGGCTGCTCTCTTACAGAGGACCCGGGTTTGACCAGCACTCACATGGTGGCTAACAACTGTCTGTAAGTCCAGTTCCAGGGGATCCAACGCCCTCTTCTGACCTCCGCAGGCACTGCACGACACGGTACACCTACCCACATGCAGGCATTACAGTCATACACATAAAATAAAAAAATATAAATAAGATATATATTTTTAATTTTTTGACTCAAGAATTTCATACAGTGTATTTTGATTACATTCTGGCTCCCTCCCCTGTCTCCACCTTTACCTTTCCACTCCACCCCCCAACTTCATGAATAAGAAAGGCTTCCCTGACCAGGAGTCAAACCTGGGCGCTGTGGTGAAAGTGCCAAACCCTAACCACTAGACTGCCAGGGAAGGTCTGTCTTAAGTTTGTTTCTTGTCAGATACTTTGTCGCAGCAACAAGACAAGTAGCTGTATGTTTCCTTTGTTGTTATTTGTGCTTTTGCTTCATATCTATGAAAAATAAATCATTGCCTATTGGAGGATTTTAAAGATTTATACCCATATTTCCCCCATATTTCTTATAATAAGAGTGTCATGACTGTAGCTCTTTTTATAGTTTAATAGATTTTAATAGCAGACTTACAGGAATAGCACAGAGACAGGGAACATCAAAAACATGTACTTGCATGTAGGACAGCTCAGAAAAGTTCAGCGAATGGATGGAATCTACTGTGTGATAAAAAGGCTACAAACACCATTTAGTTGCTGTCAAGAAGAAATTTATTTTTAAAAAATGCAAGTGCTGGCATAGTTCAGAAAAAGTTAACAGGTTGTTTATTTATAATTGTTGTAAAGTTGAACCATTGAAATCTGTTCACTGAAACATTCTGACATATCACTAGGGTAACAGAGCAGAGAACAGTCTGTGTGTGTGTGTGTGTGTGTGTCTGTCTGTCTGTCTGTGTGTCTGCATATCTGTGATGTTTGTATGTGTGGTGTATGCCCATGTGTCTGCTCAGGTGTGCATGCCCGTGTGCACAAGCAGAAGCCAGAGGAGGACTTTGTGTGTCCTGCGTTAGTACTCCCTGCCTTATTCCTTTGAGACAGGGTCGCTCATTGAACCTGGAGCTGGACTGGTGGTCAGCATACCCAGCACTCCTGCCTCTGCTTCTCAGTGCACTGGGGTTGCAGGTGTGTGCGTGCACAGCCATACCTGACTTTTTTTCATAGGTGCTGGGAATTCAAACTGATGACTTTGATCTCATGTGGTAAGTGCTTTTACCCACTAAGCCATCTCAGCCCCTGTAGAGAAGTCTGAAGAAGAGTATTTCGTGTGAATGTGGGAGAATGCTGACTTCCATTGAGTTTCCTCCACCAGAGCCATGGAAGGATGAATAGAACAGCCCATGCCTAAATTTGACTGTGTCAGGGGTAGCTCCACTAAGATCACCCGAGAAGGCTGTATTGGGGTTCAGCGCTCAGCACTGCTTGTGCTCTACTGTCTCTGAAACTACTCTTTTTAAGCCAGCTGATTTTGTGGCTGGAGTTTGCATATTGTAGACAAAGCCTCTGTTAGAAACAATATAGATCTCAAAAAATTCTTACTTCTCTGGTCCACATCAAACAAGGAAGAATTGTCTTGGGCCACACTTTAAGCCCAGGAGTGTCTAGCCTATAGCTCGTTGGTTGCCAGAGCATACATGTGTTTATTTTATATGTCGTTATGGCATGACCTTGTCATCCACAAAGTTTCACACTTAAGGACTGCACAACTGAGTTATAAAACACTGCAAAAAATCTCATAATGTCTCAGGTTTACGATTTTATGTTGGGCCACATTTATAGCTGTCCTTGGCTGTGTGTGACCCATGGGCTGTCAGTTGGACAGACCTGTAAGCACTGAGGAGTTGGGAAAGAAGTCATAAGCCACTGGCAATAAAAACTTCAGTCCCAGATCCCTAGAGAGGAAAATGACTGGTGGGATTCCTTTTGTTTGCTGAAAAGAAAATTGATGGGAAATAAACCTGATATAGGGAAAAGAAGACTGGACTGCCTAAGGAGTTGAATTTGGAATGAATAATCCAGATGATTCTGCAAACTGCCAATGTCATTTCAACATACATCAGCACAGTTGATACGTGTGGAGACGAGAAGATACTGAGCATGACCAGATGGCACAACTTGCTGCGATTGGGCTTCAGCTACTTTTTTTCAGGTGACTGGATCGTTTTACCATCATTAAGCAGTTTGTAGATTGTCTTAATTCAGTGGAGGGATGACGTTCTCCCATAAGAAAAATAAAGTCCATCACAATACAATAGCTGAACAAATGTGTACTTGTAAACATGTTCTCTGTGACATTAAAAGAAGTGTCTTAAACCATAGTCTCCCAAACCACGTGGAGGATTCCAAGAAACTTTGAACATTATAGCATCTCATTATAAAAACTCATATCACTAAAAAGAAAGAAAACCTTGATTTAAAAAATATTATCAGCAGATTTTCCTGGATACTGGCATGTCTCCGATCCTTTGAATCATCAGCACTGTTGCACAGGAGCAAGATGATACTTTCTACTTGCAGTAGCCACGTGGTCATGCCAGTCTGGAGTTAGTAAGTCCAGAACATGAGCACCTCTGAGCTGCTCCTTCAGGTGAAGTGATTGTGTGCTACAAAGTCAGGAGTAGGTGCTGCTGAGAACTCCAGGCTCGGGTGATGCGTGTGTTGCAGAAAGAGTCAACCATTCGGAGCTGAAAGGGACAGTAGATGTTTCTGCAAGGCAAAGCAGTGACTCAGAGCAGCGTGGTCAGTGATTAGAACTTAAATTGGGCTGTGACCCTCATCAATTGTGACCTCTTCAACATTGCTTAGCTTCAGTACCTCTTTCAAAAAATGAGGAAATAGCATCTCCACCTGTACTGTTCTTGTTTCCTTGACCAAACACCCAGCAGAAAGCAACTTAAGGAAGAAGTGTTTGTTTTGACGTATTGTTAAGAGGGGACAGCCGATCATGGCAGGAAAGGCAAGGCAGAGTTCATGGTGGCAGGGGCTTGTACCTGGGACGCTTCACATCTGGAAAGACCAGGAAACACAGAGCTGGCTATGCTAGCATTCCTTTTCCCCTTTTGATTGCGTACAAGACCCCAGTTCACAGGGTGGTGATGCCCATATTCAAGATGGGTCTTCCCTCCTCTGGAAATAACCCTCATATCATGTGTCTGCCACATGAATTCAAATCTAGTCAAGCTGACCATGAGCATTAGCCAGCACACTAGCTGAATGTGTAGGAGCTTTGACTAAGATGTCTACAGAGCTGCACACAGTTCTGACCAACGCTGAATACATGCTTAATGAATGTTCATTAACAGAGCAAAGTCCCTTGTACGGTCAGAAATACGAATCCTTTGAGGCATACATACATGTCTCAAAGATGTACTGCTTAGGAACACAACCATTCTAACTACAAGCTTTCTGGCTTTGAGCCTCATTAACAGCCAGTGCCAAGAAGCCAGCAGCATACACTTGAAAAGAGAATTTGTGGCTGGCAGCTTAGGTGGGAATTAGAGTGAGTACCCCAAAGAAAAATGTAGAGCGCTGACTGGCCCATCTCAGACAATCCATATAATGTGTATAAAACAAGGCACCAGTCTCTTAGTTCTTCCTTGGGATAGTGCTTGTTTTATTCTTGTATATTGGACTTGTGACAGAAGAAATCTATGCTTCAGGCCAGATTTATGCTGTTCTGAATTGAGATGGCTAACACCCAACCGAGTGAAAAGAATTGATGCTAATAAAAAGCATACTGGGCTAGGCATCGTGGTGCATACCTGTAATCCAAGCACTCAGAAGGCCAAAGCAAGAAGATTGTAATATTGAGGCCATCCTGGGTTACATGGTACATTCAAGGTCAGCTTGAGCTGCATAGTAAGACCCTACCTTAAACAAAACAACACAAAACCACAACATATTGGGTAGGTATAAATTTACAGTCATGAACTTAGGTTTAAATGACAACTGCAGGGGCTGGGGAGATGGCTCCATAAGAGAGACCATTTAAGTGCAAGCATGAGCAGGCATGAAGCCCTGAGTTAGGATCCCCAGTACCCATGAGAAAAGCCAGGACTGGCTACACGAGCCTATAACCCCAGTACTGTGGTGAGTGGAGACGGGAGGATTGCTGGGGCGCTCTGGCCACTAGCCTAGCTGAGGCTGGCCATCAGCCTAGCCTAGTGAGAGACCCTGTCTCAAGGGAATAAGGTGGAGAGTGGTAGTGACAAAATGATAGAAGGTGCACTAGGCTATGCACACACGCACCTGCACACACACACATGCACCTGCACACACACGTGCACCTGCACACACACGTGCACCTGCACACACACACGTGCACCTGCACACACATGGAGGGAGGGAGAGAGAGAACTGTTTAAATCAACTGCTTAGTTATAAAATGCCTTTAAGGGGCTATGTACAAAGGGTTTAAGTTTAAGTTTGATCTCAGTTTACTGAAATAAGACTATGCCTTATGGACTTTCCCCCTATCTGCTGGTATTCATCCTCATGTCCCCATCCAGCAATGTCTGAGGAGGTCCCAGGAATATGCTTCCCCTTTCATCACTAAGAAGTCTGATCAGGCTTTCACTAGGACACAACTAGATAAGTAGTCATGGCCTGTGTGTGTGTGTTGGGAGAGGGTGCCCAGAGACATGTTCCATTTGCTGAAGTTTGGTACAAAGTCAAGGGAGAGAAACCATTTACCTAAGGGTTCAGGTGGAAATAGAAAGTAAGTGGTTTTAGTTTCTTACTCCACATGTCCCAAGGTAAAGGTAAGACACAGCACTAAGATTCCCACAAAGACTCTCCACAGTCACTTCCATTTTCAGAACCCACTACATTTTAGGTCTTTTCATAGATTCCCATATATCTTGCCGTCTCTTCTGGCTTTAAGTATATTTCCTCCCTTCTGCTTCTGTGTGAATATTTTCTATTAATGTGTCTTCACATTCACTGATCTTCTACTGTATCTAACCTTATAACTATCTTTTGGCTTCTTAGTTTTCCTTAACAGTGTTTTTCAGTCTTAGGCACCCAGGCCTTTATCTAAGATCAGCCCCATGATGCCTCCTGTTGTTCAAAGGCCAGACCCTGTCATTCAGCTGAACTGGCCCCTCCTCCAGGAAGCTCTCCCTAGCCACTCCATCCCAGGAGCTCTTTCCCAATTCATCTCAGTCTTCTCCATTCCTGTATATGTTTCGTTATTGTCACTAATCACACCCTGTGACTTCTTCATTCTCTTGGTTTATTGAAAGTAAATTCCATGAGGGCTGGGCTCTGCTTATATTTTTCTTTTTCATGAATGTGTTCCTAATCCCTACACCCTGTTGTATTCTTGTTGCATGGCTATGTGAATGACTTTGACCACATTACCATGGATCTCATTTTTCCAGTTCTTAAAAACAATTTTTAAATTTACATTTTTATTTTGTGTATAAGTATTTTGCCTGCATTTATGTAAATACACCTATACCATGCAGTGCCCATAGAGGCCAGAAGGGATCACCTCCTCTAGAATTGAAGTTACCGATAGTTGTTTGCTGCCATGTGGGTGCTGGGAACCAAACTTGGGTCCTCTGTAAGAGCATCCTCTAAGGCATATCTCCAGCCCCCAGCTTTCAAGTTTGTTGAATGGGGAAGAGCTGTAGTGTGACTTTGATTACCATAGGGATTCTCAAACTTGATTGAGCATGCCTCAGAATGACCAAAAGGCCTTGTCTGGACAGGCTGGTGATCCCACTCCCAAAGGCTCTGTCAACAATCTGGAGGGAGGCAGAAGTTTTGCATTTTTAATGTGTTTCTGATGCTGCTGTTCTGGGGCCACACTTTGAGAGTCACTGGACAATATCATCTACAGGCCCCCTTAGATATACAACTCTAATTTATCCAGTAATTGGTATAATGAATATGAAAGTGGTATACTTACGGACTGGAGAGATGGCTCAGTGGTTAAGAGCACTGACTGCTCTTGCAGAGGACCTGGGTTCAGTTTCCAGCACTTACATGCAGGCTCACAAACCACCTGCAACTCTAGCTCCAGGGGATCCTACACCCTCCTCTGGTCTCCATGGGCATTGCATGCATGGGTACATTACATACCTGCCACCAAAACACTCATACACTTAAAAATAAATTTTAAAAAATTTAAGTACTGTACATAGAAAAACTAAATGCTAGAGGGGTTTTAAAACATAACTTAAGCTTCAAAAAGAAAAGGGTAAAGGAGGCAACGGAAGGAAAGGAAAGAAAAAAACAAGCCCTTGTCTAAGTGAAAGGGATTAACACCTAGTGATGGGGTTTATAAAGGCATAAGGTCGGCTAAATGGAAGTGCCTGTGAGCGTGCAGGGCTGAGCTGGCCTCCCAGAATAATGCTGGACAATGCTGCAAAATGAAGCCGTGGCAGCAGCTGGGGAAGTCGGAGAGCACTTCCGCCAGCCAAGCATTTAATCTCCTCCTCAGAGGGGAAAATAGAATAACAATAAGAGAAGTTCAGGGTCCGAACTAGGGGGAGACAAAAGCAGAAACACCCACGACGCCAGCCCTCCTCTGGCAGGGGGATTAGTTAAGTGCACCTCAGAGTTCGCAGTCTTCATAGTTTTCCCTTGGCCAGCCTCAGTTGCTCTCCACATCTCTAGTCCAGCAGCCTTTCACAAAACAACCTGTGTTCGTCCCTGTGTCTCCTCCCCAGCAAAACCCTCTGCAATTATACTTTAAGGTTCAAGCCCTGTGAGGTTTTCTGCAGCTGCCTTCTCTCTCCCTAAAGTTCTCCATTTGTTAAGTGGTCTTCTAGCTCTGTTTAAGGTAGGAGGATGTCACTGTCAGATCCGTGGTCTTTACAGCCATGGCCTTGTTTTAGTGGAAAGGGTCCTTCAGAGCAGATGCATTAACAGGGATAGGCCTGGAGAGGCGCCAGAGAGCAAACACGGGTCAACCTTTGTGAACCACCCACCTTCTTGAATCCTGAAAGTGAGATGGGGTCTCTTGCTGACAGTTCTCTGCATTGTTGAAATGTGTTCCTTTGATCGACATCATTGATGTCATCATCATCATCATCATCACCATCATCATCATCATCATCAGCAGCAGCAGCAGCAGCAGCAGCAGCAGCAGCAGCAGCAATAACATCAATCCAGCACTTACTCTGTGCCAGGTGAGGGGCAAGTCAATTCATTGGACTTGTCCATTTAATTACCTTATTCTGAAAATATTATTTTAAGAAATGAGGAAATTATAAGAAAGTTGATCAAACTCAGGCTAGAAAGAACACGATC